CCAGGGGCATAACCAAAAAAAAAAAAATCATACTGGGCTGCTCGATATCAACATCGACTTAAATTATATAATTCAATATTTTAAAAGAAAAAAGGTTAAAAAATATTCTATAAAACCATAAAAATACATCAAGTTCATTAAAAAAATGAATAAAATGATACCTATTTAAAATGTGCCCTTCTATTCTTCATATTATAGAATTCATCTATAATGGAGTCTGTTTCGATCTTCTTGCTGAACTCGATAAGGTTACCTTGATTCTTTGAAGATGGTGATTCATCATGTCCTTTCCGTGCACATCCTTGCAAGCAAAGCCTACCGATGCTTTCTATCGTAGCCGTAAGCCTTAATTGATTATTCTTCGCTTCCTCCAACGTATGTGCATTGATCACTTTATCGATGTGACCACTGAATTCATCAAAAGGCCCCTGGATTACACGACATTATTATGTGGTGAAGTGGGGTTTCCCGCATGAATAAAAAAACGCCTCTTTTTCCATCATTAACCCTCTTCCTACCTTTAAATCCATCCTAAGTGAAAGCAGGATAACGAGCATCCTTTTCTTGAAAAATAAAACAAAGGAAACAGAAGGCTACATCTTTTTTAGTAGAATAATCTATCCACGGAAATTGTTCATACCAATATTTTTGGAAGCGTCGATGTTGATCTCCTAATTTCGTTCGTGGAAATTCCAAAACAGGTTAATACTAGAACCGCAAGATATAAAAACTTCTAATATTATCTCGTGCATTGATAGGACATTGCCATATTGGAGTATGTGTAACTGACTCTAGGGCAACATAATCATTAACATCAATATCTACTCTTTCATATTTAGTCGAGTGATGATTTTCGGACACATTTGGAGTTGAAGTTTCTACATTAGAGTGAGAAGACACTATCATAGTAGATTTGAGCTATAGTTTTCTTTTTTCTATCCTCATCCATTTAAAAAATAAACCTAAACAAGAAATAACAATTTCATCAAAGCAATTAACATACAATTACTCACAATCATAGTTTCACGCTTACATAGTCACATATCATATTAAACTAAAGAAATAGATAGTATTTTGGTCCGCCACATTGCAAAAATTAGCTCCAATTATTGAATTAAAAAATTTACAAAGTTCCAAAAGCAAGGAAAAAAAAAAAAAATAAATTAAATCATTTACATTCAGTATCTCAAACATCAAATTGTATTACCACACCTCAGAAGTACAAACCGGTAATCAACGGATTCCACTTGACAACCTTTACTAGCCTAGACTAGAAAGGAAACCAAACAACCTTTACTAGCCTAGACTAGAAAAGAAACCAAACGGGGGAAAACACAACAAGTGTTCCCCTACACTACCCTTCACGGCCAGAGAAACAAAATCCCACATAACACTCACACCTATGAGACGAAAATACTCCTACATAAGGGAGACGAAATACTCCTCCAGTAGGGAGACTACAAAAAACACACTCCGAAAGGGAGAGAAAAAACCCAAAACACATAAAACACACACAAAAACAAAAACCAAAACAAAATTAAATAAGACTAAAGCCCTCTCCACATCGGCTAGACCACCTAGCAACATCAAGCAAGCCAACAGCAAATAACAACCTAATAGAGATCAAATGTAACGCCCACTTTTATTTTTCGAAAATCAGTAATAATTTTTTAAAATTTATTTCAAAAACACATGTGGCGTTACTCATTTTCAAAAGCATACATCAATATTCAACAAGAATCTCAATCCTCAATCCTCATTCGTCAATCCTCAATTGTCAATCATAAATCATCAATCATTCAAAATTCCAATCCTCAATAACAAGGATGCAATAATAAATAATCAGTTCAACAAGCGGAAGCACTATCAAATAATAAGTTGGTCATCAATGACCGACCACCACTCGCATCCCTCCGCCGTGCCCGCACTTACTAACCTGCATCCATGAAGAGCAGGAGGGGGTGAGCACAAATAAAACTGTGGTGCTTACCACTATGCACGTAAATAACAACGTAATATAACAAAGGGTATGATCACAACATGATTATAAATCAATTCAACATGTCACAT